ATGGACTATAGATGATCCAATAATTCAAACAGTAGTTTGAGATGTAGAATAGGGTATATATGTTACAGGCATGATGATAACCATTATAATCTAATGTAAGAATTGAATGCATTAGACTTCCATCTACATTTGGACTTTATGTCCTCATCAGAAACACCTTGTGATTACAAATGAGTAGCCCCGCCTATTCTGAATAAATATGTGATTTGAATATAGATGTGTCTAAACCAATGAATTTGACGGCTTTGTGTAGGAGTGATGTGAACTGATATTTGGTGAGAGGCTTGGCGTCGATATGGCAGAAAAATGGAACTTGTACTTGGGGTCGGATTGACAAAAAAATGTGCGCATGTCTAAATAAAGATGTACTTTGAGGACTGTATGTAATTTGTAACGTAGTATCCCTACGATGTTGATCAGTTTTTGAACCTTTGATAAACAAAGAAATTTTTTCTTCATCGAAGGTGAAGTCTTGGAAAGATAGTACTGGTGTGAAGTTACTGATGAAAGATCACTAATACGCAGCAGTGCGAAAAATGCTAAATGAAATGCAGTTGAAAAAATTGTGGCTTCATAGGTGTTTGAACAAACTCTGGGTAGAATTGATACCATTTGATGTAACATTTGTAGGGATATTGGTGATCGAAGGTCTTTTGCTGGATTTAGCCTTCGGAAACCTTCCAACATTTTCTTAACTATAAAGGCTTTAGTGTTGTCCAAACCCCCCTCTAACTGGATTTTTAACTGATACCACTTAAGTAACATCTCTCTGTGGCGTGGGATATCTGGTTTGTATGGAGGTATGCAATGTAGTTAATAATCTAATGAACTGGTGAAGGCCAAGACAAGTCAAAATTATATTTAGAGCGGAAGGTTTCGAAAGAGTTAATGCCCTTCTGATATGTTGAAGCAGTATTTTTAGATACTGATGCTTCGAGCAAACTTTCTACATGTTGTTTAAGAGAGTTGTCAATGCTGGAGGTATACTGACTGGAATCTTGTCTGCCTGAGGAGCTAAGGTTCTGAATCTTTTCCACTGAAATCGAGAAATTGAATCCTCGATAGAATTTTGATAACCTGGAACATGGATATTTTTAATCTGAATGTTATGCCTAATGCATAACAATATTAATGGCCTTAAAAGTGTCATGACTCTTTGAGACTTGCTTGTTTTGGAATTAAGAATATAAACCAAAGCAAAGTTGTCGGTATTTATCAATAATTTCTTTCCTGCAAAATAATCCGCCCAAACCCAAATAGCCAACAGAATCGGTACTAGTTCTAAAAAGGTGATATCCCTTCCAATATCTGATCCCCATGATGCTGGCCAGGAAATAATTGCACAGTGATTCTGAAAAATTGCACCTCCACCGTAGGAACCGCAACTATCGGTGGAAAGGTTAAGGGACTCATTACTTGACCAGGATAGTTCAGGAAATGGAAAGCGCCCATTGTAGTCTTTGAGAAATGTTAGCCAAACTTTAGCGTACTCCTTAACGGTTGGGTAACCTTTATCAAAAAGTAATGTTTCTTAATGCCAATTGTTGTATTGTAAAACCTGCAATTAAATGCTCTGCTGCCTGGGATGGCTTTTGCAAAAGTGATTCCATTTCCTTGAGTGTTACTTTTTTGGATGAAATGGGTGATGTAAGCTTATACTGGTCAGGAGTTCTATAACCTTGTTGTCAGGAAAAAAGATTACCTGTTCTACTGTATCAATCCCTAAACCTAGGAAACTCAATCTTGTACAGGAACCCTCAAGTTTTTGTCATTTATTGGGACACCTAGTTCACTACAGGTTAGCTTAAATGTTTTGGCGAGTTCAGAACATTGTGGAGTATTTTGACTCCCGGCAAATAAAAAATCATCTAGGTAATGAATGATGTTTTGGTTTTGGGCTTTTTGTGCTACCAACTAGTGCAGGAATGATGAGAATTTTTCGAATGTTGAACAAGTTATAGAGCAACCAAAAGGCATGCACATATCAAAATAACATTTGTCTTGAATACACATACCTAACAAAGAAAAATATGTAGGGTGGATTGGTAAAAGTCTAAATGCACTGAACAAATCCATCTTACAGAGTAATGTCCCTTTGCCATTTTTTTGAGTCAAGCAAATTGCCTGGTCAAAGAAACTGTAGGAGATTGAACATAAAATTGGGTCAATTTGCTCATTGATACTATTGCCGATTGGTGGTGACAGGTTTGAAATCAACCTCCATCCACTATCTTTTTTGGGCAACGCTCCGACCGGGTTACACCTAGGGTTGGAGAAGGGGGCTAGGGAAAGGGCCTGCAATGCGATCTAAGCTTATTTCTTTTTTAATAATTGACAATAATTCTTGCATATGTTCCCTAGCAGACTTCATGTTTTTGGTTGTAAATAGTCTCTAGAGCCTGCATAATTAAGATAAAAACAAGATGTAAAACCATTGAATAACAATTGGGCATCTTGAACTTGAGGGTACAAAGCTACGTATTTTAGTACTGGGAGCTTAACTGGAGTAGAACCTATGCGAATTAAATCTTGGTCTTTGTGACTGGTATTGCCTTGGGCGATAGGGATGAAAATTCAGGTTGGATTGTTGGGCATAATTTTGCTGTCCCGCGGCTTGGTAAGTTAGGTTTAATCTAGTGTTAGTCTGTTAGATTGTTGGTAGTTGGTATTAGGCCTTGAAGATTGAGTAAGCGTGGACTGGTAGGACCAGCAGTGTATACGTGGATGGGTCTTGTTACAGTGCATGCATGCGTGTTGATTAAAAACACTGGGATTTGGAGCATGAGCCTTTGTGATTGTAATCAAAGCATTTAAGTGACGCTTTTGGTTGTTGAGCAGTGAGACAAGGTTGGGCCTGCATGTTTATTAACCACAACTCTGTGTCGACGGAGCCAAAAGAAAGTGATGTATTTTTTGGAAATTTTAAGACGGAACTGTTTGTCGTATTCGAGCCAATTAGCATTTGTGTTTCAGCTGTAGCTTAGACGCACTGTGTGTATATATTTCAATATGCCCTGAATATCTGAAGGGTGCCTAGCTAGGTATATGCTAGCGAATATTAAATAGGCATCAACCCAACTTTGCATTGTAATGATTTTGGTTGGTTTGGTTTTTGGTTCGATGACCAATTGATCTTCAACAATTGAGAATTTATGCGTATCTTGATTATCTATTTCTGAAGAAATAACCTTTGCCATGTCAATATATTGCTTCGACCAAATTTTTTCTTTGATGGCCTGGGGGACATGAACCCCAAGCTCATCTGTAATACTTATTAAAGGGTTTTCACCTGATGTCAATGATTGCTCCGTTGTAATATCCCCTTTGGATAGTGGATTGAGGGTTGCCACTGCGGAACTGAAATTCTTGATAGCTGACTGTGGGACTTCGGAAGGTTGTGGGACTTCGGGAGGAATGAGGGTTGCCACTGAGGACCTGGAATTCTTGCTAGCTGACTGTGAGACTTCAGGAGGATTGAGGGTTGCCACAGATGAATTAACAGTCTGGCTGGCTGGCTGACTGGCTGGCTTGAAGCCTGGATTGCTGTGATCACGGGCGCTGTGGTTGTGATGGACCTTTCGGCTGGGGTCCTGACAGGCCTAGCTTAGGGTGACTTGGATTTCCTTTTGCTACACCGCAACATTCCCTACGAATTCGTAAGACTAAATATATTGACTGTTATAACAGATGCATGGTAGCCTAGAGGCTACTTAAGCGGGCCTGCACTGTGCCGACGAAACTTAACGTTAGGTAATTAAATTATCAAGTGCAGTCTTTACTGTGTTTCGAAATTATTTCTATTCCATTGTAGTTATTAATTCGTATTCGTAAACAGAAATACATTAGGTTTTTAAAAACAAACCATACAACAATGATGGCGGCAAAATGCCGAGAGGCTGATGGTCAAGCTGAAATCGGTTGCCAATTAAATAAACCAAAATGACATCGAACAAATCAAAATAAATGGAAGTAAGTACGTATCGTAGCTTCGATGACGTATACTTTACCAAAATTATCGGATGGCTGTGAAGTATGAAGGAATCGCTCGATGGTGGTTGGATTGTTGAATTTTGTTGAGATGAATTTCCAGAAAAAATTTGCAATTGGCGCGCGCGTAGGATATATACTGGTATTTACGGGGGATGGTGTCAAAGCTCAATAATTGTAAAGGGTAGTGTCAAAAGTAAGTGAGTTTAAATGTTGCATGAGTTACGGCTCTTTAGCTATGTTACAAAAAGTTGATCTATTCATTTCTATACTACAACTTAACTCATACTGAGTTAAGTTTGATTACCGAAAATAGCGTAAAACTATGTAAAAAACGTGTTTAGCTTTAACAAAAATATTGTAAACACATGGTAGATGCTATGTTAAAACCGTTTCCCCGATATATTTTTTATGAAGATTTAGTCCCATATACGTATGAGATGTTTTGCTTTAATCAACAATTATTCCGTTTTCTTTAGCCGAGCATTGCCCATACCTTCACAGTTCTGGTAATATGAATGCTGAGAATTGCTCAAGTTTCTCATACGGATGCCCTAGAAAACATTACAGGACTAGAGAGATTTATAAATGTAAGTTTATTTTTAAACGCTGCGCCTCGGGAAATAGTCCTGATCTTGGGAAACTGGAATCTTGCTTACTCCCTCAATGATATACTTTAACTGTATAATATTAACAGGAGTTTCTATCTATTTGTTTAAACATTGCTCTCCGAACTTAAAGTAATATGAGCTGCATTTTAGAAAATTTTATTTTGCTGTTAAAATGTGCTATTCTGATAAATTTGTATGTCACAGGTGGTGAAAAGTCAACTTTATGACCAATTATACTAAAATAAAGCAGAAGAAAGGCATATACAGTTTATAATTATTACGTTTAAGAATTGGTGACCGTATTTGACAAAACACTTAAACAGTCAGTATGAACAGATGAGTAGAGTGATTTATGTTAATTTAACACAGATGATTTTTTTGTCTGGATTTGTAAGTGCAAGTATGAGTAAAATAGTCCCAAAAATGATCAACCCGCCATATACTTGATCTTATAAGGATCTATATTCCAAATATAGATTAAACATATGACAAGCACCGATAAGAAAAACTCCGACAAATGCATTTTATGTTTTTTTATCTCATCTATTTCCAGATCAAGCGTGTTTAGATATAAATCCAGAAATAGGATGTTACGTTGCAAATGGAAATTGCAGGTAAATAAGAGGATTTTTAACGAATCGTTTTTTACAAAGTGACCGCAATACGGTAAAAAAAAACCTTTCTCTCAGTTTCCTTATTTGAAAGTGCTTATCCTTATTTATGAACAAAAATATGATTTTCAATGCAAAATCAATTATTCTATAAAACTGCTAATAAAATATTTATTTTATAAGTATTTTCAATGACCTGACTGTCTATTAAAATCATGACTAATTAATTTAAGTTTAAGGTTACATGTATGCTTTGGAAACATATTCCATGCATGACGCCCGTTAAAGCGTCAAGGTTAATATATATCTACAGAGATAATGATTTTTATACAATATGTTCACTGAAACAATGTTACTTTTTAATTCTATTTACATTGTACAATTGTACAATTTATTACTGATGTTGATTCTGTAAAGGTATGGCTGCTCGTTTTCATTAAGATCACATCCCATATAGTTATTGATTTTACTCATTTTTCATTATAATTTCAGGGCAGGTATTAAAATACAACACAATTAAAAGCTGTCTAGCTGGAAAAAAGTTTCAGGCTTACCTTATAATCAAATGTCATGAAAGGTCCAGGAATTGCTCAATTCTACAGTGTAAATACAATACAAAATTAACTTTTTAGATTTGTTACTATATTAGAACTGGACTCATTTCTATTTTACATTGCTAGGATCAACATGAATGTATTAATATTGGTGATAGGAGGATATGTACTTTCTTATTGTAAAAATAACTTGATGCATTTCATTGATAGATTTATCAGTGTATTTGTCTGTACATTAACATTCATTCAAATATTGGAAAATTTTATTTACGTTTGCAGTGCCCTCAGCTTGTAATGTTTATTTGACCTCTGAGTATTACATGTATCATGTTTGTTATATCAACTTTCATCTTCATCATGTTCATATAATTTATATTTGCAGCAAGTCACTGACTTCAGTAGGAACTCCAGCTAGTACATCTCCAGCAGCAGGGAGTGGAGTGACTATAGCCCTGTCCGTTGTATTTGGTGTGATATTTTGTCTGCTTATCTCAGTACCTATATCTTTCATCTCTGTGAAGAAAATAAAAAGTAAGTTCATATATCTAAATATTCAAAGCTACTGTAACAGTCCAAACAAATAACATTTACACTGAATTTATTTAAGGTATCTCATATACGGTAATATGTGAAATCAGTAAGCACTTTTCCTTTATGTGCTAATCTATCATTATTTCTTAAATACATTTGGCATATTGACGAAATGACACTGGCGTGATACAAGTTCTATTAAATTGTGTTCCATGTGTATATAATTCTAGTATATGCACTTTTTTTGTTAATATCAATAAAAACAACGTTCAAATTAATTACTATGTGTATGGCTGTTTTTCGCTTATGACGACGGAGTATATATAAAATAAATAGTACTTAACATAAAAGCCTCAATTAGGCTTTGGGCCTTTTAATTTACCTTCGAAATAAATCAAAATAGATAACAACTAGTGATAATATTGTAACGTAAAGTAATAGTATGCGAACTATGACGTAGTTATTGTGAAGTCAAATTTAAAAAATCACGTCATAACCAATTGTTTTTTATGTTATGGCCAAAGGTGCTAGAAATTTTTGATATAGAAACATATATGCATGTGTATCCCTAATCAAATAGAAATACATTATTTTCTCTTGTTATGTTACAAAAAGGAATTAAATTAGAAGTTTTTGTTTAAAGACCTTTTTAAATTATGATAAGAACTATCTTCTTTATTCCGACGTGTTGATATGTAGTTTATAAATGCGAACCCGAGTATGAAGAGTTATATTGGACTCACCTATATAATATCAATTACACCCGGGATAGGTTTCTAAGAGTCAAAATTAGCAATCATCAACAATTTCATGGAAAGTCAAGAAATTTTTTCTCAAAAAAAAAAAAAGGTATACATTTGAAGTTGTCCTACCTATAATGCTCAAACACAATTACAAATTTATTTTGGACGTATAAAGGGACTAGTATCCAAGGATATTCATTTCCTTTGCAAGGGAGATTCATAAATCAATATTTCTATGAATAAGTTTTCTATACGTTATGTGATAAGGTATTTTGATTACCCATATTTATTGAAAGAATACTTATTAATGTTGGAAAAGTTAAATATGGTTATCACTATGCATAAATCTACAACCACCGCAGGAAAAAGTGATCTGCCTTCTATTATCTACATGTCATATCTATAAAATAAAATTGGTTGGCAACTTTAATAGAAAAATTAATTATAATATATTCTCTAATTCTGAAAAAGTGAGAAAACTAAAATGTAATAATATTGTATACATCTAGCTTTTCCTTCATTTACTTGGCACCAGTTCTAGTTGAGTTTGTTTTATTTGTTTTGTTTGTTTTTAATTACTTCTTTTGAATATCAAGTGTTTTGATGCATGCATATTCGTATTTATGGGTGGGTATTTATAAATAACATAGATGATGTAATTAAATTTGTATCTGGCTAAATATTCTTCTCATACGGTGCGCATGTTTTAATGACATCTTTGTTTTAGAATACAGGAAGAAAAAAACACAAAGACATCAAGTGTCATCCAGCAAAAAATATAAAGGAACAGAAAAAGAAAATATAAAACTTCTGGAAAATTCAGCAGAAAAAGATGATGAAACAAATGACGAACCAAATGTGCCGTTACATAAAAAAAGTTTTTCAGAACATTCAAGCGCCAGAATAACGGACATCAAAGATGAAAGAAACACAAAAGCTGATGACCTTTTTGCTGCTTGTAAAAATGGAAAGACAGATGCGTGCCGATATCTCATCAACTGGTTTCCGGACATGCTTCATCAGGTAAATGATAGTGGATGGAATGCTGCATTACATGCTGCACAGGGAGGAAATGTTGAAATTTTAGAACTTCTGGCAGAAAGAGGCGTAGACATGACATATAAAAATAAGGATGGCAGTAATATTCTTCACATTGCTTGTGTGAACTCTAAATTAGAAATGTGCCAACATATCATCCAACATTATCCAGACATGTTTCACCAGGTAGATTATAATGGATGGAATGTCGCATTATATGCCGCGCAAGGAGGGAATGTTGAAGTGTTAAAACTTCTTGCACAAAAAGGCGCTGACATGACAAATAAAAATAAGGATGGCAGTCATATTTTTCACATTGCTTGTGCGAATTCTAAATCAGAAATGTGCCAATATATTATCCAAAATTATCCAGACATGCTTGATCAGATAAATGATAATGGGTGGAATGTCACATTATTCGCCGCAAAAGAAGGAAATGTTGAAATTTTAGAACTTCTAGAGCAAAATGGTGTCGACCTGACATATAAAAATGAGAATGGCAGTAATATTCTTCACATTGCTTGTATGCAATCTAAATTTGAAATGTGCCAATATATCATCCAACATTATCCAGACATGCTTCACCAGGTAGATTATAATGGATGGAATGTCGCATTATATGCCGCGCAAGGAGGGAATGTTGAAGTGTTACAGCATCTAGCACAAAAAGGTGTCGACATGACATATAAAAATAAGGATAGCTGTAATATTCTCCATATTGCTTGTGCGAATTCTAAGTCAGAAATGTGCCAATATATCATCAAACATTATCCAGACATGCTTGATCAGATAAATGATGATGGATTGAATGTCGCATTATACGCTGCAAAAGGAGGAAATGTTGAAATCTTAGAACTTCTAAAGCAAAAACACGTCGACATGACATATAAAAATAAGGATGGCTGTAATATTCTTCACATTGCTTGTGCGAATTCTAAGTTAGAAATGTGCCAACATATCATCGAACATTATCCAGACATTCTTAATCAGGTAAATGATGATGGATGGAATGCTGCATTACATGCCATACAAGGAGGGAATGTTGAAATTTTAGAACTCCTGGCGCAAAAAGGCGCTGACATGACGTATAAAAATAAGGATGGCAGTAATATTCTTCACATAGCCTGTGCTAATGCTAAGTCAGAAATGTGCCAATATATCATTCAACATTATCCAGACATGCTTAATCAGGTAAATTATATTGAGTGGAATGCCGTATTATTCGCTGCATATGGAGGGAATGTTGAAGTGTTACAGCTTCTGGCACTAAAAGGCGTCGACATGACATACACAAATAAGAATGGCAATAATATTCTTCACATAGCCTGTGCTAATGCCAAGTCAGAAATGTGCCAATATATCATTCAACATTATCCAGATATGCTTAAGCAGGTGGATAATGATGGATTGAATGCTGCATTATATGCTGCACAAGGAGGAAATGTTGAAATTCTAGAACTTCTTACAAAAAAAGGCGTCGACTTGACATGTAAAACCAAGGATGGCGGTAATATTCTTCACATTGCTTGTGTAAATTCTCGATTAGAAATGTGCCAACATATCATGCAACATTACCCAGATATGCTTAAGCAGGTGGATAATAATGGATGGAATGCTGCATAGTACGCCGCACAAGGAGAAAATGTTGAAATTTTAAAACTTATGGCAGAAAAAGGCGTCGACATGACATATAAAAACAAGCATGGTTCAAATATTCTTCACATTGCTTGTGGTTTTTCTCGATTAGAAATGTGCCAACATATCATCCAGCATTATCCAGATATGCTTAAACAGGTGGATATTAGTGGATGGAATGCCGCATTATACGCTGCAAAAGGAGGAAATGTCAAAATACTAGAATTTCTGGCGAAAAAAGGCGTCGACATGACACAGAAAACCAAGGATGGCAGTAATATTCTTCACATTGCTTGTGTTAGTTCTCGAATAGAAATGTGCAAACATATCATCCAACATTACCCAGATATGCTTAATCATATAAATAATTATGGATGGAATGCCGCATTATACGCTGCACGAGGAGGAAATGTTGAAATTATAGAATTTCTGGCGGAAAAAGGCGTCGACATGACACAGAAAACCAAGGATGGCAATAATATTCTTCACATTGCTTGTGTTAGTTCTCGAATAGAAATGTGCAAACATATCATCCAACATTACCCAGATATGCTTAATCATATAAATAATTATGGATGGAATGCCGCATTATACGCTGCAAAAGGAGGAAATGTTGAAATTATAGAATTTCTGGCGGAAAAAGGCGTCGACATGACACAGAAAACCAAGGATGGCAGTAATATTCTTCACATTGCTTGTGTTAGTTCTCGAATAGAAATGTGCAAACATATCATCCAACATTACCCAGATATGCGTAATCATATAAATAATTATGGATGGAATGCCGCATTATACGCTGCAAAAGGAGGAAATGTTGAAATTATAGTATTTCTGGCGGTAAAAGGCGTCGACATGACATATAAAACCAAGGATGGCGGTAATATTCTTCACATTGCGTGTGTTAATTCTCGATTAGATTTGTGCCAGTATATTATCCAGCATTATCCAGATATGCTTAAACAGGTAAATAATAATGGATGGAATGCTGCATTATATGCTGCACAAGGGGGAAATATTAAAATTCTAGAACTTCTTGCAGAACAAGGCGTCAACATGACACAGAAAAACAAGCACGGCCATAATATGCTTGATATTGCCCATAAGAATTCTAACTCAGAAATGTGCCAATATATCATTCAACATTATCCAGGAATGCGTAATAAGGTAGATGATAGAGAATGCTGTATTAATTAGTGGCCTTACACGAAAGAAATGATAAAAGTGTAGAACGCCTCGAAGGAAAGGACGTTGAACTGACACAATGAGCAGACATTGAGCAGAAAGAGATCTTCACACGTTATCTCCATTTATACGTACCCACTTGACGGACCTATCTCTACGTGGGATTCGAACCCGCGACCAAAGGATCAACTGCTTACTCTGCGACTCTAGAACATACACTCTAACCTTTCTACATTACTCGGCGATTAATGTGTGAAATAATGTCTTCTCTATTTCCTACAAGGAGGATTCTTAGAAGGAGGAGTTCAATTGAATATTTTAATTTTTGGAAGAAGAGGTGTCAACTTGACATATTTTAGTGCTAAAATTAAACATTTGACAGTGTACTTTTGTGTAAGTGTGTGAGGGTGAGGGTTGAAGTGTGTATGTTTGTGTGTATGCTAATTCTAGAGCCTAAGAAATCCCACAAGGAATTATTTCAAAAAGAATGTCTTTAGTAATGCTATTTCAATGCAGGATTTACATATCAAATTTGAAGTTTTAAGTATATACTTTGCCAATGTGTTTCATTCGGAAGATATCTTTTTAGACTAATATGTTTATTTATAGTTAAAGTAAAATCATTTACGAGTTCTTATGCTTATTTGTTTGAAAAAATTATAAAATTAATTCACAATTTACCATTGCATTTTATTAATTACATACATATGATTTTAAACTTTTTCATAACTTCTAGAAATTACACCTATAACCACTTGCACTTATACGTTTTGCTCTATCAGTGATTTTCAAAAGATGTCGCCTTAACTGACATTAGCCAGAAATTCGTACGTCTTTTTGCTAGCTGCAGAACAGTAGCTCTACGAAAAATATTTTGACAGACTGGAGAGCTACAGTGCCACCCATTGAAAAAACTGTATATTTATTGCGCACAAAAAGTGCGCTCTTTCTCTATTTTTTTCCTCCATGTTTATAAAATGCCATCTCAAAATATTACGAACTGTGTGTTCCTAACATATTATTTCACGTTTTTCACAACAGAACATCTTTTATAATTGTTTTAATAGCCCTCCTGGTCCTGAAATTGAGATCATTGAATTTTTTTGTTTATTTATACTGCCATTTTGGTTTGAAAGATAATTCTGTCCAACGAACTTCGTGTAGAGGTCATTTACGAAAGGACTTTATAGAGGAGGAAGAATTTTTTTAGATTCTTTTTCGCGATTAAGCTTATAATTTGGAAGAATTAATCCAGAACTTAGTGCGACTTTTTGTGCGAAATAAATATACAGTCTTTAGTTTTTACCATGGGCGGCACTGTAGCTCTCCGGTCTGTCAATATATTTTTTTCGGAAAGCTACACCTCTGCAGCTATCTTTTAGCTTAATCTATAGTATTTTTTCTGGTTTATAAATATCCTCATTCATAATATTACTGTCGATGTAATATTGTTAAATTCCTCAATATTGGGTATTATGGTTTTTTTTTGGAAAATCTACAATCGCTGTGTTTAATTCCTATATTGCAATTCAGTTTCGAGTTGGATTTCATTTAATTCATCGGAACAAATTAAGAAAATTGAAACATACATTTCTATGAATATATTCATTGGATCATTTTGAATTAGTTTTTGAAACAAAATTTATTCTTAGCAAAATTTTCATGGCATCCCCATTCTTTTTTCCCCCTTAGCATATTCTCTCTTACTGTTGGTTTAGTATAGAATTATTTATTGTTGATGTAGAAGCTTTAATTGGATCTCCCATGTTAAAAGAATATACATCCAGTCAAAAATGGGTTATGTTTTTATCTTTAACTTTAAACAGTTGTCTTTTTATTCGGAGAATTTTTTGGCTTGTCTACACGATTTAAAACGGTTCACCGCGGGCTGGCTATTGGCGTACATCAGTGTGATTAACTATGGATTAAAATTAAATTATGGTATCTGTTCAGAAAAAAGAAGCGCTTATCAGAATGGTAATACTATAAGTGCATAGATATCTCGCTCTCTCTCTCTCTCTCTCTCTCTCTCTCTCTCAGAAAAAATGTACATGTGTATGGAATATACTTTTTAATAAAGACTTCTTAACATGATGTCAAAATTAAGCATTTGTAAACTAATATCAAATACATGCAGTCATGCATAGACACCGTTTTAATCGCTGTTCCTAGCAATTGCGTGTCCAATGTCGCGTATATCAACATCAAGTTAAATACTTAAAGGCAGAGATTTAAGCACCGCCTCCAAAAATACCTGGTCTGGGTAGCCCTGTCAATCTAGTGTGTGAAGGTCGATTATTGGATGTTGGAACTTGATTGACAGTGACTTACTGGTCCCTGTGTATACCCTGTACACCTTGTTTGGGACTCGTGGTGACCTTCTAATTAACTTTTGATCCTTTGATGTTTACTGAACATGGTATACAGAATTACTGTATTACATGTATTATGAAATTTTTAGATTGCTAATATATGCATTAAATATACCTTTAGTATTTGAAAGGAAAATAATATAATATGTATTTAAAAAAAAAAATAACCTTTGGTACATAAAACTTTTTTTCCAATGAAATTTAGATATCATTTTTAATATGCTAAATGGTAAACCTAAAGTGGAAATGTTATTGATAGTTCGGAGCAGCACTGTGTGAAGTAATTAGATTTAAAAAATAATGTTTCTAATCATGGGTCACTTACTTTTTCCTTTTTTATTCAGATGAGAATTTATATGCAATTATTTTTAGCATATTTCGTGGTGATTAAGCCTTATTAAGGTTAAGATAGACCTATACAGTGCAGATATTTTTTTGTGAAATGTACAGTTGTTCACACAGCTCTCTTTTCATTTAATAATTAAAAGATCCAGGGGATTAATGAATTAAATTTAAGTCTAATTTGGTTGTTACAAGAGTTGTTTTCTTTAAATTAACACATACAATGATATCTAAAACAATCTTTGTTTTAATTTTTGAATTTACAGTATGATATAATATTTTTTTTAATGGGGTAGGTGTGTTTTCAAATAGTAAAAAATTATTAAGGTCTTCCGTCTTTACGGAAGACCTTATAGTTATTGTACTGTTTCTTATTAAGGTCTTCCGTCTTCACGGAAGACCTTATAGTTATTGTACTGTTTCTTATTAAGGTCTTCCGTCTTCACGGAAGACCTTATAGTGATTCTACTGTTTCTTATTATTATTATTCTTATTTTTTTGACTTTCCAATTTTGTGCACGCGATTTCTCGAAGACTACTGGATAAAATTACATGAAATTTACAGGACAGATGCGTTGTTACATGAATTTATTATATCCGAGGGAAAATTTGAAAACTCACTTCCGGTGCCAAGTTACGGACAATTTTCTGAAATTAAAATGACATTTTGTCCACGATTAAACTCAAAAACGGTAAAAGATATCAATATGAAACTTTCAGGGATTATAGATCGTGATATGTATTACCCAGGACGCGACTTTATGTTCGTCGTCGGTACTTCCTGCCGTTAGGAGAAGCGAATTGAAAATATCATATTTTCTAACTTTTTTGTTTTTCAATATTTTTTATTCATTTTTGGAATAATAATAGAGACCCTTCTATTGATGCTC